ACACCATCGCCTTCAAGCACCTCTTCCTGAAGGACTACGTGGACGGCGCCGAGGACTCTTACGCCGTCTACACCCAACACGACCTCTACGAGCGCATGTTCTATGCTGTGGAGAAGGTGAGAACCACGCTCTGGGGACACCAAGAGGGGCCTGGAGGCCATTGAGGTGGCTCAGGGCCACATCCAGCTCCTTCTCCTCACAGTACTTGGCCATTCCCAAGGAGACCATCGGGCGTTATGCCTACGTGCGAGGGGAGAGCGGGGGCAACCACTCGGCCCTCATGTTGTGTCAGCAGTACTACAGGAAAGGCCGCATCGACCCGGCCAATGACACCTTCAACATCGATCCCAAGATTGTCACAGGTGGCTTTTGGAGACATTAAGGCTGGAATTGCTCATCCCACAGCTTGTGGGTTGCGTTTTGGACATCATTCTGGGGGCTTGAGAAGGTCCTCGAGGGGGTTGGGGGGGGTTGGGCTTCACTGAAGGTGCTTCTCTTCCATGTAGACTGCTTGGGAGTGGACCCTGAGGACCCACAGCCTCTTCCTCCAGAGCTGGACCGCAGCTACAAGAACTTCACCCTCAAGTTCCACAAGTAAATCAGCACCTTTGGGTGCTGGGGACATCCCATAGGCACGAGTTGGGATCCCAACGTGGGCATTTCATCCTGCTGAAAAAAAAATTGGTTTCCAACCAACTTGTGGGATGGAAACAAGTCCTCCCTCCTTGAGGGAGACACAAGGTTGCACAGGGCAACTGTATCCAGCCCCAGTTTCACCAGAGGGAAGCACAGAGGTGACACTGAGACACCACAACTGTCCTACAGCAGATGGCGTGTAACTCGTGGCACTGCTTCTTCCAGAGGGTTCAAACTCCTCCTGGAAGCAAAATTCACCCCCATTGGGGCAGATTGGGTGGGATTTAGGAGCAGAGAATTAAGTAGGTTGGAAAAGACCTTCAAGATCACGTCCAACCCTCATCAAGTCCAACTATTGCTCCTCTGAAGCTGGAGACACCTCATCTGGGGCTACATGCACCCCCAAGGAAGGTGTTGAGCACTCTTTGGTGGGGTTTGACTCTTGGCGTCATGCTTTAGGGGGGTTGGGGGTGTCCAAGCGGGCTGAGACACCCTGTAAAGCCCCAGGAGGGGGATTAACCAGTGTCCCCTCCACAGGCTCATCAACGTCACCATCCAGTTCAAGCTCAAAGCCATCAACATCCAAACCATCATCAACAACGAGATCCCCGACTGCTACACGTTCACCATCACCGTGAGCGCGGTGGCTCCGGGCGGGGGACGGCCCCCGGGGGGACAGGGAGCACGGCTGGGCACGGGGGAGCTGCCCGAAGGGGCTCCGTGGCGTCCTGATCCCGATCCTATCCTGATCCCATCCTGATCCCGTCCTGCTCCCGATCCCGTCCTGCTCCTGATCCCGTCCTGCCCCCGATCCCATCCTGCCCCGACCCCATCCCGATCCCCTCCTGCCCCCAGAGCCCATCCTGTCCCCATTCCCATCCTACCCCCATTCCTATGGTTTTCCTGGGCTCTCACCACCCCCTTTGTCCCCAGATCACATTTGACAACAAGGCCCACAGTGGCCGGGTAAAAATCCACTTGGACAACCGGGCTGACATCAAGGAATGCAAAGATCCCAGCGTCTTCGGCCGAGGTGGGAGCCACAGGGGGGCCTCAGAGCTGGCATCTGCCCCTCTTTGGGTG